ATTTCTTTCTCTGCTTTAACAGTTAACAGTTCTTCATTGAACACCTGATCTCCTTTAAGGCTTAAAATGTACTGAAGACAGGCAGGCCCTATTTGCACACTGGATCACTGGTAATGCTTTAGTCTGTAACAGACACACACACACACACACACACCCCCAATGAAAAAGAGACGTAAACAATAGAGTCATTTATTATTTCACATACCAAATTTGGTAGGAGGGTAGTTTCAAAGTAGGCTTAATCCAGGCAAAGTCCAGATTAAAGACCAGATTTTGCTCATTTTTATACTCTGGCGTCCCAGGATGTAGGCTGTCATTTCATACAATGCTCACAAGCCAATGTGCTTCCTTAAAATTGCTGCCTGATGGTAGGCAAGTATGAGAAAAACATTCTCTTACCTACTCTGGAAGGCAATCTGTAAGACATAAATGATCCTGCACCATGTGTTTAACCTTTGACCTAATGATTCCATTTTTAAAAAATGCATCCCACAAAAATATTCAATATAAAAACAGAGGTGACTATTACAAAACTGCTTTTAATAGTAGGAAGTTTGAAACAGCTTAAACTACTCATGATTGGTAACATTCTTGAGATTCACATAGTTGTTTATCATGGGAAAACGCCCCAGTCAAGTTGCACAGGATGGATGTGCAAGAAGTAAAAGTGCCAAAGCAGAAAGCAAACCAAACTCTACACATTTGTAGGTGTTTTGGGACAAGAACCTAATTCTTAACACTATTATCACCTCTGGAGAATAGCAGCAGAGAAATGAGCTTGTCTCTTCCAGTTTATATTCTGTCCTGTTTGCGAGGGGTCCTGAAATGTCCTAAATGAGGGGTCCTAAATGTTGGTCTGCTAACTCAAAGGCCAGTAGTTCAAACCTACCCGTGGCTCCTCAGGAGAAAAGGTGAGGCAGTTTGTCAGGATTTAGTCTCAGGAACCCTGCAGACACTTTGCCTATCCTACAGGGTCTCGAAGAGTTGGGATCAACTTGGCAGCAATTTTATTTTGTACTGTTTGTATTTGGATCATAAACATGCAGTTATTTTGTAGTTGGACTTCAGTAATGTCATTGGATATTTCTTTTAAACTTTAGGTACTAGAGGCAGAGTGTGTAGGGAATTGTGCTCTGACCCCAAGGCTGTGCTTCTCTGGTGGTTTGGATCCACCAGCAGCCTCCTGGGAGAAAGAGCAGCAATCTCTTCCAGTTGGATTAACAGCCTCAGAAACTCCAAGTCTGTTGTACCTCAATCCCATTCAGAAAGATCCAGTGGCAGCCAGTGACACAGAAGATGCTGAGAAGGCTCATCCAAGGACCTGTTCTCCACCATCTCCTGGCATAGGTCTCTCATCTTGTTGCTGTGTCAAAATCAACTCATGGCTGACCCTCCAGCAGGTTTTCACAGACTGTCCGTCACGTGGGAGAAGACTGACCATCCTTCTCCTGTGGAGAGGCTAGTGAACTTAAACGGCCAGATACACCACTGGATTGGCAGCACAACTCTCTCCAAACTGTCACCAGAACTCCCATGTCTCACAAAACCTAAACTGAGATCCGCTCCTTAACCCTGAAGTTGTTAAAGAAACAGTGCAATGTTTGGCGCTGGTACCTGCACCAAAGCTTTTAAAAGGTTCTTACCTTTCCTTCTTCCAACGAGTAGAAAGCAAAGCCTGCACCAGAGTGTGCTTGCTTTTCTTTGAGCGTGTTACAAGTTAGTGGGTGGTTAGCAAGACCCCTCAGAATTCAAGAGCCATTCTAGAAAAATGATTGCTCCCATACCTGGGGCTGCCAGCAAGAGCAGCTACCTAGCAGAATGCCTGACTAACTTAACTGAAGCTGAGAGCAATGCCTCCCTTAAGACAGATTCTGGTTGCAAGAAAAGATCGACAGATTATGGAAAAGTACAACTTAAAAGGCACCACCACAGGCTCCAGGAACACAGAAAGGCAAGCAGAGATTTCTAAATACAGAACTCAATTTTAAGAGTTCACTGTACTTTCTCACTATCATCATTTGCTGTCAAAAATAGAACCTTCCATGTCTTGATCCATTCAGAACAAACCACAGCAGGCAAAGCTCTGTTTACACAGGGCCGCCAGGTCAGAGAGGCTGCAAAGGGAAATGGAAAAAGCTGCCTGCAGGTTTTCTTAGGGATTATACTGCTCCAGCTTTTATCCTTCTTCCCAGCTATTTTGGTGCCAAGAAACTACAGGGAGGTCTTTGCTCTTCCATGAAAAAGCTTTAGCCTTTTCACTAAAAGTGAAGTAATCTCAGGGCTGCAACTCTCCCTGCTGTCCAATATGCTCTTTGCATGTTGTGAGCAGGTACAAAGAATTTTAGAAACTTACATGTTACAAGAGGTAAAGTAGCCTTGTATTTCAAAACAGGACCAAAAAGCTATACAGTTCCAGGACTTACTGGGGAACCTGGGCAAAATCCCAACCCCATAGCCCTCATTCTCCTGTTAACAATAGGGCCGTTTTAAACAAGGCGATATGCATAAAGCTTAGTACCTCTTAGCCCACACACAGTGCTACGAAGCACCCACCACTGTTACTGCCTTAAGACATTAAGAATATGTATGATTTTGGCTCATTTGGAGAGCACGCTTACTAAAATAAGAAGCTAAGAATTCATTTCAGAAGCAAATTCTAATATTATCCCCTAATACTAACATTTGAGGAAACCAGTCTCTTCCATTTGCCCAGAAGTTTCTAGATATCTCCAAAACAGTCTTTTGTATGTAAATGAATAGATGGAGATGAAGTGGGAGGGGAGGAAAGGACCAAAAAGGCAGTGGTTTCAATAGAGCAAGTCTGCGTGACAGAGAATTGACATGTAAGGTTATCTTGGCTATAATCATTAGAGCAGCTTGCAGTCGCTGCCAGAGTCTAATTACCTGTCTTTTCGGTTAGCAGCCATAAGCACTGCACCACCAGGGACCAGTTCCTTCAGTGTTGTTGGAAGTGCAGGTGAACCAACTCACTCATGAAAACCCTACCAACAGAGGACTACTTGCCCTGCACCAGCCTCACAATCTGCTATGTTCAAGCTGACTGAACACGTGTCACTTCATCCTGAAGATCTTCCTTTCTCATACTCTCCAGGTTTCCCAGTGCAGTGCCCTGACTGGCCCTCCTGATTATGTGCCCAAAGTTAAGTGAGACAAAGCTCCACAACCCTTGCTTTGCAGGAGCACCTTGCTTGGAACTCTCAAGTAGGCCCTGTTTGTTCGTACAGTGTGTCAGATTCAAGCTTGCATCTCCAAGTTGGACAGTGAATAAAAATGAGTCATCGATGCCTTTGAACTGTGGTGTTGGAGCACTGAATATCATGAACTGCCAAAAGAATAGTCTGCTTCATAGGAATCTGGAAGAGGAGGAACTGGAGTTCTAAGTCCTCCTTGCTCATCCACCTTAATGACACAGAATTTAAGGTAGGGCTTACTTTCTTCAGATTCATTTAATAGCATTTAGTGAAACTACTTACCAATTTCATTACATTTATTCATCTTTGTATCCGTCTCCCTGTATCAAGGTAACATAGATACTAAATAACGACTTGTTTAACAAAATTCTAACTAAAAGCAGCAAGATACCTAAGACTTATGAAAATGCACTCAATTAAGAAACATGCAATTACTGGACAGAAAATTCCTAAGAGAGTATTATTCACACTAACACACTCTTAATCTAACAATTTACTAATTCCTCTTGTAGTCTTTTTCAAACCACAAATCTTACCCTTTATCTTCCCATCTCATTTCTTAACAGAGCCCATTTTAGTATACTTTTATTATTTGTTGCATGTGTCAATCAGATCTGGCTGGTACAGGAGAGAAGACTGCCCCTCCTTCTCCAGCACAGCATATGGTGGATTTGAACCGTGTACCTCGGAATTGCAGTGCAGCTTCTTGCCACCAGAGCTCCCTAATTTTAATATACTTTTAAGGGACTTAATTGTTCATCTATATCCTTATACTTCTTCTTTCTCCCCCTACCCCTTTGCTGTGTACCGTCAAATTGGATCTGACCAGCCCAGGAGCAACTGGTGGATTGTAAATATATCCTTATATTTCCAATATTCTGGTTCTCATAAAAATTTAACAGAGCACATCAAAGCTATTAAAATGTCTCTAAAGTATTTTACCTAAGATCACAGTATACAGTATCCAGAATTGGAATGTCTAAATGAATAAAAAACAATGCACTAATTATATGTCTTTTCTCTACTTCCTTAGTCTTTGTTCATTTTTACAGTCTCATCCTTTCTTCCTTCCCAATTCTGGAAGCTTACCTGCAAGTTCAAATTTCTACTTAAGAATTTCTACCTTAGGAATCTACAGGTTCATGGCAAGAAGCTGCACTGCAATCCCAGAGGTATATGGTTCAAATCCACCAGATGCTCTGCTGGAGAAGGAGGAACAATCTCCTCCTGTACCAGTCAGATCTGATTTGACAGTACATACGTACGAACACACACACACACACACACACACACACACACACACACACACAATAAAAAGGGGGGAAAAAGAATCTACAGGTTCAGGGAGTTCTGGTGGTCTAGTGGCAAGAAGCTGTGCTGCAATCCCAAAGGCACTAAGTCTGAATCCACCAGATGCTCTGCTGGAGACAAAGTGACAATCTCCTCCTGTACCAGTCAGTTCTGATTTGACAGTACACAAAAAAATAATAAAGAATCTACAGGTTCAAACTCTGAGAAAAACAAATGCTCCTAGCAATAGTTATACATTACAAAGTTTTAAAGTAATTAACAACTAATGGTGACTGGACAGAAAGAAATAACAAAAAGTTTAATAAAAACAATTTCAAAGCATTTATTATGATCTGGCAATAATATAAGACCAGTCAAAACAGTATGAACTGTTTCAGAACAATTTAAAACAAAACAAAAGAAAACAAAACCTAAAACAGAAGGGGAAAATAAACAATTGCCCTCAAAAACTTTTCATTTTCACTTCACTGATCATTTTTAGTTGGATACACTTTGTAGAAGAGTAATATTATCGCCTTTCAACATGATCCGACCTGTAAAACACAACAAAGCAGCTATTAATAGTCACATACACAGACAACTATAATTTCTGTCCTATGGACATTTTCAAGTGTCCATGGTAAAAAGACATCAGATTTCCTAAAAGCATATGTATTTTTTTCCTCCTACTGGAAGGCTGATGCTATTTTATGAAAATCAGAACTGATTTTCTAAAAACTAAGTAAATGGAACTCACTGATTTCTTCACACCTGGAGTTTGTAAAACTTTGGAGATGAGCTGCACACCAAGTTTAGAAAATGCACCACACTATTACCTTCTTACGTTAGCAAGGAAGAGGTTCCAGCTGGCAAGAAACAAACTTGTACGTTTTACTAGCCATTCCTAATCTTATTTAAGCACAGTACCTTTTTTTTTTAGGATGCCTACAAACATCATGGAAAGATCACTAATATTCAATGAAACTCCTATAGTGTTTAGATGGTTTCACAAAACTGGAATTTAATACTTCACAAATAATTGCTCAAAAGAAGACCTCAATTAAGTTAGCTTGCCAATCTTGACAAGGTATCTTTAAATCTGAAAAATCAAAATCAAAGAAAAAAACATAGCCAAATACCAGACCGGTAAAAGCCTGAGAGAATCCTCAGGTCTGGGATCAAGAGACACTGGAAATCTACCACTGGTGAAATCACTTATGAGCTGTGACCTGGGCATTTAAAAAATGAGGAAGAAAATACTCATTAAAACTTCAAGTTAACAGCATGTTAACAAAAAAGAAATTTCCCTTGTCTTTCTTAGGTCATGAATCCTAGCCATCCTTGTTAAATGAATTAAGAAATGGCCTATGAACTTCTGAGTTTTTACTATGTGCCAAGCACGAAGCTAGCACTGAGTGGTGGTGGTGTTAGGTGTCAACGAGTCAAATACGACTCATAGCAACCTTATGAACAAACAATCTGAACCCTATTCTATCCTATGCCATCTCACACTTCCTGAAACACAAGAGACCACTTCAACAGTCACCATGTCAAGCCACCCAATGAGGGTCTTCCTCTCCTTCGCCAACACTCCACCCTTCCAGCATCATCTTTCTCCAAGGAATAGCATCTCTAGCAACATGTCCAAAGTATGTGAGGTGAAGTCTCATCATTTTCACCTCCACAGAGCACTTAGTATTGTTGTTCATTGCAATCAAGTCCTAAGTGACTTATAGCTGACCATCCAGCAAGTTTTCAAAGACTGGAAATCTCACGGGAGAAGACTGTCCATCTTTCTCCCATAGAACAGCTGGTGGAATTGAATAGCATGCCTTTGGATTGGCAGTGCAGCTCCTTACCACTAGGCTAAAAGAGCAATCTAGCAGGTATATTAAAGGTGGGGGAACCTACCACAACTTAAGCATTTACAAAGTCTCTGCTCTAGTAGGAAAAACAACCATAAGAAGCCCATAAAGGCTTCACTATAAACTCAGAGAACACATTGTACTTTACAGTTCTCCAAGCCAAAAAAACAAAACAAAACACCCAAACAACAACAAAAATCTAGACAGCCAAAATCCAGGGGTTTTGGAGGAAATGATATTTAAAACCCAAGTTCTGAAGCCACGGGATCAGTATAGACACATTTAAGTTTATGATGGGGTAAAATAGCACATTCAAAGAAATGGAAGAAGTACAGAGGCTAAGTAAGTCAAAGAGGGACAGTGATGAGCCTACAGAAGTGAAAATACAACGAATGAAGGGAAATCCAAAATCTCTGTAAATGTTTATTAAAATTAATAATAAGAAGAAAAAGAAGTGGAAATAATAATAGATTATGGAGGGCCTAGAAGAACACATTAAAGAATTAAGGAAAAGAGCAAAAGAAATCTTAAGAGTGAAGTACTTCAAGCAAATGGATGACAAAATCAGAATGGCGTTATTTTTAAAGAGGAATGCTGGCAGCCTGGAAAGAAAACTGGATGGATATGAAGAGTCTGCAGAAATGGCATCCAAAAATCTGAATGGGTACTAGTGTCAATCAATAAAGGAGGGAACATTCAAATAGTTCTAAGGAGTGTGTGGTGGTGGTGGTGTGCACCAGCGTCAGAAATGATTCATAGCTGACTCTCCGGTGTGTTCTCAGAGGCAGTTAAGTGCACAGGAGGAGACTGCCCATCCTTCTCCTGTGGAGCAGCTGGTGGACAAGAACTATGCGCCTTCGGGATTGCAGTGTAGCTTCTTGCCACTAGGCTTCCAAATCTCCCTAGAAGGAGTGTGTATGAGATGGGAAATGGGCTTGATTTATGATATGCTAACTCTAAGAAAGCTTTGGGACATTTAAGAAATACAGAATAGTGCTCACTTAGCAGCACATGTACTAAAACTGAACGATACAGAGAAGATTAACATGGCCCCTGCACAAGAATGCCATGCAAAGTGAATGTGAAGCGTTCTATATATTTTAAAAAAGAAATACTGAATGGACTCAGTGAAATCCAAGTTACATACATAAATTTGTTAGTTCAAATATAGATAATTGAAGCTATAAACACGGATGTCTCAGAAAACAACACAGCTCATCTAGATGATAACATGATTATGATAAAAACAAAAGGGGGAATATGGGAATACTAAATATTTGTAATAAACAGAATCCTATTTAAATTTAAAAAAAAAGAAAACAACACTGAGGACAGAGGAGCTAGAGCAAAGCTCTGAGCTATAGAAATTGGTATAAGAAGGAAATCCTCATATACAGAAAACTCAAACCAGAGTCTGGTGCCTCAGAACCAAAAGAAAGAGTCTGAGGAAAGATTTAAAGATTTGTCAAGATGGACAAGCTACTTGATTGAGGTCACCAGTGTCAAAGACTGCTTAGAGTTAAGTAAAATGAAAACCAGTGTTGACAATGAGACACAGTATTAGACCTTTCGTGACCTCCGTGAGAACCGTCTGGATGGAGAGGTAAAAGCAGAAACAGAAAGGAATAAAAGGTTAAGTGGGAGAGAATGACTTCAAGAGTATTCTACTCCCCAAACAATAACTTCTCAAGTACAAACTAAATTTAAGTGAGAACTGAGCTACAGAGCAGTTAAAGTCTCAAGAAGTGTCATTCTTACCCAGTTGTTTTCTTGACTTTGTTTTAGAATGAATCTCTTCGGCATCATCTAATACCAGGTTCATATATTCATCAAAACCCTTGAAAACAGGCAAATGACATATTCACGTTAGACCATTCAAAAATGAGTAGATTTACAGAATGCTAACCGAAGTTCTAAGTTCACCCCTATATTGTTTCTGCACTTGAAGCAGGGTATATGGAAGTACTCCCTAACCACCTACAGCTCTTTATAATTATCTCCAATTCTACTGTAACCTGCCCACACAAGTGTGTATGTCTATCATCCACTGTCTGCTCTATTTCCCCATAATATGCTACTGCCACTAATCATACTTGTTTTGCAACTAGTTAACAGGGCAGGGGAGATGACGAGAGGAATCTTGTTGTCAGGTCTAAATAAAATGGCAAAGTACCCTGACAAGACTTTTTAGGCAATGTTTATCTGATCTTTAGAAAATTATACCTACATTCCATTAACTTCTCCCCCTTCCATTTTTACGGTTTGTTTTCTGAGAGTGTCTTGGTTAAGCAAAAGATTGGCAATTTAAACCCACAAGTCAAAGTTGGAATAGACTTGACCACAGTTTTTTTATTTCTCTCCCCAAGCCAATACTAGTGTTTAAATAATTTTCTTTTTTAATTACTCAACTCTTAACAATTAGAACTGTCCCTCTACCCTTCCAAGCATGATGCCCCTCTCGAAGGACTAGTCCTTCCTTGCAACATGCTCAAAGTATGTCAGACAAAGCTTCAAAATCCTTGCCTCCCAGAAGCAGCCTGGTTTTGCCCTCTCCCGGATGAACCTGTTTGTTTTCCTAGCAGTTCATGGAATATGCAATACTCTTCTGCAGCACCACAGCTCAAAATTATTGATTCTTCTTCTGTCATCCTTAAGTCACTGTCCACCTCTCTGATGCAAAGCAATTAACTACAAAGACCATAGCCTGGATTAGGTGCACCTCAGTCTCTACTGACTGATATCATTGCTCTTGAGTACTCTAGAGAAGTCCCTGACAGTAGACTTTCCCAATGCAATTTGTCTTTCGATTTCCTGGCTGCCGGTACCAATAATGCTGATTATGGAGCCAAGCAAGCTGAAGCTGTTAAAAATCTCAAGTTCTTCTCCATCTATCATAATGCTGCCAACTGGCCCAGTGGTGAGAATGTATAGCTTCTTTATGTTAAGCTACAATCCATATTTAAGTCCTTGATCTTCTGCAGCAAATGCCTCCAGTTGTCCTCAGTTTCAGCAAGCAAGGTTGTATTACCTGTACAACGCAGGTTCTTGGTGAGTCTTCCTCCAATCCTCTTGAAACATTCCTCCTCATAGAAACTAGCCTCCCAGATGATCTGTTCCACATATAGACTGAAAAGGTATGGTGAAAGGATGATGCATCCCAGACACACCATTTCTGATTTTGAACCATGAATGTTTCCTTGCTCTGTTCTGATGACTGCCTCCTGGTCCAAGTATAGGTTTCACAGAAGCACAATCAAGCATTCTGGAATTCCCATTTCTCTCAGCCACAGTTTGTTGTGATCCACACAATCAAATGACTTTGCATGACAGACATTCCTCTGGTGCTTTCTGCTTTCAGTTAAGATTCATCTAACATGGCCTCTTCTAAAACCTAGCCTGCACATCTGGCAATTTTCTCTTGATGTACTAGTCTAATAATTTTTGGTTATTTTTTCAGCATTTGAAATGCTGAAATTTGGAAGAGTAGGGGGACAGCGTAGACAGGAAGATGTTGGGTGAGATAGAATGACTCAGTGACTAAGGTAATGGGCAGAGACAATGAAGATGGCTCAAGATAAAAGCAAGGTTCACAGCTGTTGTATAGGATTGCTATGAGTCACAAGTGACTTGATGGCACATAATAACAATTAGAACAATGAAACAAAGCAAATAAGCAAATTAGTAGGCCCTGAAAAACATTCTTTGGATTGACTCTTTGGCTTTTCCTACAGGGCTCAGCCAAACCATTTTCTGCAAAGCCTTTTTCTATGACTAAACTGCTCCAACATAAAATATCTTGATACTCACTATGATACAACCCTCTATCCGCATATTCACTTGCTCATAGAGCCACACTTGAATCCGAGATCTCTGAAATAAATAGAAATGTTAAATAAGTAAACATACCAAAACAAGGCAAACATAATCTAAAACACTTTGATTAAGTAGAAATAATACAAGACTTCTAAAAACGTATTTGATAAATAAAAATCAATAGTTTGAGCCCAAATCTAAAATTCCAAACAAGTTACTTGCCAAGAATCTTTTTCATTTATTTAATGCTATATAGTGTGTTTATCCAGGCTAACACATTGTCTGTGGTCTTGGAAACTCAATTTTATTTCTTACTACTTATGATCTCAATACATTTACACTGGGAATCAGTGGCATGCAGCAAAGTAGTATATGCCAATGATTGAGATTAAAGGTGTACTTCTTATGTGCTAGAGCAAAATTCAGCTTCAAAGAGGTTTCCTCCTACTTCCCATCTGAACTGTCAAATGAAATAAAACTATATCCATGTCTGAATATCCGAATAACTATATCCATGTTGACGATGAATGTTTGAAATGGCTATAGAAACCACTGTTCTAATAGAGTTCCCTCTACTGTCCCTCCACCTCCCACTTGTACTTCAACTCTAGAATACAGCAATCGACGTGAATAGCTTAACCTACTCAACTTTTACTTAAAACCGTTATGAAACAATTAACAAGAAACTTACGTACATTTTGCAGGTATCTGAAGATGAGGTTCTGCACCACAGTAGTTAAGGAAAATAAACGGCTCAAGCTCTGTTTCCTAAAGCTAATCGACCTAATCTTGTCCCACTTTTCCCTGTTTTCTGAATGTGAGACCTGGTGCTTACACAAGTACCCAAAAGACACTTAGGAAGGAGCCGCCCCCCGCCCCCAATTCTTCAGGCTGAAAGTCAACATCTTCCTCCTCACTCAAACCCAGTATGTTCATTTCCACGCAGCACAGAATTAGCGCTGTTGTCTCTCCACTCGGAACAAGCACCCTGCATTTCCCACCCACCAGCCCTTCAACTACCCGCGCTTTCTCTCCGTTTCGGTCGCCCTGGGGGCTCATGGGATGCGCTCCGTTCGGCTCTCCTCTCGGCCTAGTCTCTGCCTGTTCCCTCGCCCTCCGTTTCCTGGCCTGAACCGCCTACCCGTGGCATTTCGAGTAGGATACGATGGGCTGCACCATCACTTTCTGCACTTTCTGGCCCTGGCCACGGTACGCCATGGTGAGAGGTCACAAAGACCAGGCTAAACCCCACGCTAGCTCAGAAAGCAACTTCCGGAACAAAGAACGGGAAACGGAAGTGCGCTGCCCCCGCCCCCGCGCTTCCAGTCTTGTCCCGAGTCTCTGTCCCTCCACATCCGGGGGCGACCATACTATTTGGTTCCGTCCTACAGCGCCACCTGCACGGCGGCAGAAGGAGGCACCGCAGGGCTTGAGCCGTGTGATGTAAGCCGGATTGGGAGGCACGCGTGAAAGCTCTGAGTGCTTCCGCTGTGTGACGCAGCTCCCACTGCGAATCCCCGTAAAATGTGTTTAAGTGCTTTCCCTGAAGCCTAGGTTCTTAGAGCAGGCGGCGCTGTGGAGTGGGGTTTCGGCCCTCAATAGCCCAGCGCTGTTTGCTCTAATGATAGATTCAACCCCCCAAGAAGTGTGGGGAGTTTTAGAAGGCAGCACCAGCATAGGGATTTAACCTCAAAACAAAACCTCACAACAAACTAAACCTAAAACACTTCCATCTAGTCGTTTCCTAGTCACAGTTGGAAGGGTGGGTAGAATTGTCCTGGGTCTTCTATCTTTCCGGATGCTATAATTTTTCATGTGATGTTGGAGAAGAGCGCTGTATATCCCAGGGACTGCCAAAAGGATAAAGAGATATTTCTGGGAGGGAGGCAGTGCAGCCACGAGCGCTCCTTGGAGACAAACATGGTGAGGCTTCGTCTCACATACTCTGGGGTGTGTTATTAGGAGAAACATAGAAACTAGAAAGGGCCATCATGCTTAGAAAGGTGGAGGGATAGCGACGGAGAGGAAGATCTTCAACCAGGTGGATTGACATGGTGACTGCAGCAATAGGCTCAAGTGTGCCAGAGATGATGAGGTTGGCACAGGAGGAGACAGGGTACAGACTGGTTGTTTATAGGCTCACTATGAATTTTGTACGAGAGTCGATGGCATATCATACTCCTTTGTCAATTAGCAGATCAATGCTTAACCGTCTGTACCACCAGGGCGCCTTGATTTAATATGAAAGTGCTGAAGTCTGGTTGTTGAGATCAAATCCAACTCTGTTGTGTGATCAAAGTCTTGGCTTAATTGTTAGCAAAATGGAGAGAAGTTATATCACCTTCCTTACTGTGGTGAGAATTCAGTGATGTAATAGTGTATACATGGACACATATGCTAAGGCTTCATTGTCTGATGTTACATATAATTTAGAGGCTTACATGCAGACTAAAAGGTCACCGTAAGAAGTTAAATTATGATTTTTTGCAACTCATCAGACAAATAGCTAATTTTACTCATATATAAAGTCCTATAAATTTTGGCTTCTTAAAATACTACTTTGAGTTATTTGTACGATACTAGAGAATCAAAACATAGTGGCTGAAAACAATAACCACTTTCATGACAGGAGTCCAGAATGAAGGCTGGATAGTGGACTGGACTTGGGGGGAGGGATTGTATAACAATGAAAGAATTTTTCTTTTCTTTTCAAAGAGAAGAGCTAATTTGGGGGAGGGGTGGGCAGGGAGAAAAGTGCAACAATGAATTAATGGAAATCCAAAATCTCTGTAAATTTTCATTAAAATGAATAATAATAAAAATGTAAAAAAAGAGTTTGCATAGTCTTGGTGACTAAAATATTTCTAAGTGTTCTTTACATAAAAATTTATGTTGTATTTTTAAACATTTAGGGGTATTGTCTTTTTCTAGGTCAATTAATTGTATGTACTTTTTTAAATGATTTTTTATTAATAATTTTAATGAACATTTACATAGCTTTTGGATTTCCATTCATTCACTGCTATACTTCTCTCTCCGCCCAGCTCTCCTACCCCTACCCCCACCCCCAGTTCGCTCCTCTCTTTGAAAAGTAAAAGAAACACTCCTTCCCTGGTACACAATCCCCCTGCACCCCTCCCACCGCCCCAAGTACATTCCACTATGCAACCTTAATTGTGGACTCTTGTGATAACCATAATACCCTATCATACATAGCTTTTAAATTATTCTCTCCCTCATCTGTTTCAGTGCAGTATACACAGTTTATCCAGTTTTTCCTCAGTCTTACCACAACCCTGATGTCAGTCCCATTTTACAGCAGTGGCACCATGCAATACTTGTCCTTTTGCGACTGAGATATTTCACTCAGCATAATGTCCTCAAGGATCACCCATTTTGAATAATATTGCATGAGTTCCTTGTTTTTTCAATGCAGCGTAGTATTCCATTGTGTGAATATACCACAGTTTCTCTATCCATTCGTTTGTTGATGGGCACCTGGGTTGTTTCCAACTCCTTGCTATTGTGAGCAAAGCCGCAATAAACATGGGTGTGCATATATCTGCTTGGATGTCAGTTATGGTCTCTGGGATATATTCCCAGTAGTGGACTTTGCTGGGTCAAATGGTATCTCTATCTGCAACTTTTTGAGAAAGCGCCATACCGCCTTCCACAGTGGTTGCACCATTTTACACTCCGACCAACAGTGAATAAGGGTTCCAGATTCTCCACAACCTCGCCAGCATTTGTTGCTCGCTGTTCTGTTAAATTTTGCTATTCTGACTGGGGTGAGATGATATCTCATAGTTGTAACTGTATGTACTTTAAAAGAAAAAAAAGGATTTTGTATCTACTTTTATAACTTCACCAGAATAAAGTATATTGGGAAAAAAAACAAAATCAAAACCCAGTAACCACTTGACTATAACTTCTAATTTCATGGCTCAAGAATTTAGGCCAAGTTCAGTCTTCTGATTCAAAAGACCCATTTAAGGCCCTAGTGAAGGGAGCTCTGGTGCCTTAATGTTAAGTGGTTGTGCTATCATCCCAAAAGGCATGCAGTTCAAATCCATCAGGGGCTCCATAGGAGAAAGATGGCAATCTCCTCCTGTGTACTGCCACTGAAAACCCTCTAGAGGGTCAGCTATGGGTCTGTTTCAATTCCACAGTGCTCACTCAACAAGGCCTTGGTGAGTATCTTATCTTTGGAAGGCCTATCTGTCGTTTAGCTGAAAGTTAAGCCTCTGAGGTGAGGTCAACTACAGGCCTGAAAGGTGTATAAGACTATAATGCCTATAGTCTCTGGGTTCCACCAGTCTCTATTAGACCAGCAAGCCTCTGTGGCAAGAAGCTGCTGTGCAAATAACTCAAAAAGCATTTAATAAAACCAAAACTCCTACTGGTTATTATGCTACCATTCATGGAGAAAAGGGAGAGAAGGAAAAATTGTTTGCCATTGGCATCTAAAAACTATTTTTACTTATAAAGGAGAAAATGAGATATGGATAGGGAGAAACTTTTACATTATTGATCTTCACCAAAACCCTTGAAGGTATTAGAACTTTTCTTTCACCCTAATAATAAAAGAATGTGTAAACATCCTTTTCTGTTGTATACCTTTTCATTACTTTTTATTGTAATGGTTTCCTACATTATTTGTCCTTTTGTGATTGACTCATTTCTCTCAGGGAACTCTGGTGGCCTACTGGGAAGGAGATGCATTGCCAACCCAAAGGCATACAGTTCAAATCCACTAGCTGCTCTGCAGGAAAAGGATGGGCAGTCCCATCTTGTCCAATTTACAGCCTCCGAAAACCCACCAGAGAACCAACTATGAGTCTGTTCCTACTCATTGGCACACAATTTCACTCAATACAAATGTCCTCTAGGTTCATCCTTCTTAGAGGTGTTCTGTAAGTTCCACGGTCTTTGTAATTAATTGCTATGCACCAGAAAGCTGGACAATGACTAGTGATGGATGATAGGAGGAGAATTGATGCCTTTGAGCTGTGGTGCTGGAGAAGAGTATTGAATATACCACGGACTGCCAAGAGAACAAACAGGTTCATTCTACAGAGGGAGAAACCAGGCTGCTCCTTGGAGACCAGGATTCTGAAGCTCCATCTGACATACTTCGGACATGTTGCAAGGAGGGAGCAGTCTTTGGAGAGGGATGTCATGCTTGGGAGGGTGGAGAGATAGTGCAAGAGAGGAAAACTCTGGATAAGATGGGTTGACTCATTGATTAGGGTAATGGGGGTGGTAGGTGTGTCAAAGACAGTAAAGTTGGCTCAGGATAGAACAGGGTTCAGAGCTCTTGTACACAGTCACCGAGTCCCAAGCGACTCGACGGCATAGAACAGGTTCATCATTATTTTTTAAGTTGAATAGTGCACCATTGTGTGTATGCTATTAGAGTTTTAAGATCTCTTAATCTGTTGTTTCCCTCTTTCTGCTATTGTGAATAATGCTATGATGGACATGGGTGTGCACAGATTTGTCCTTGTCACTGTTACTTCTCTAGGATATTTCTCTTACTACTAGGGTTGTTGAATTAAATGGTATTTCTATTTCCAGTATTTAAGGACGGGCCATACTGTTTTCCACAGTAGTTGTACCACTTTAAAGTCCCATCAGCAGTGAATGGGAGTTCCAACAGCTCCCCGTTCTTGCCAGTGTTTGCAGTTTTCTGAAATTTTTTTTAAACCTTGCTATTTATGCTGGGGTGAGAAGATATCTCATTGGTTTGATTTGTATAAATGGCTAATAATTGGGAATATTTCTTCCCCTATTTGTAGGCATTTGACTGTGTGGATCATAACAAACTATGGCTGACTCTGAGAAGAATGGGAATCCCAGAACACTTGATCGTTATAATGTGAAACTTATACTTGGACCAGGAGGCAGTCGTCAGAACAGAGCAAGGGAACACTGCATGGTTCAAAATTGGGAAGGGCGTATGCCAGGGATGCATCCTATCTCCATACCTTTTCAACCTATATGCAGAACAGATTATCCGGGAGGCTGGGCTCTATGAGGAGAAATGTGGGGTCAAGATTGGTGGACGATTTATCAACAACCTGCGTTAAGTGGATGACACAACCCTGCTTGCTGAAACTGAAGAGGACCTGAAGCGCCTGCTGCAGAGGGTCAAGGACTGCAGCCTACAATATGGATTGAGGCTCAATGTCAAGAAGACAAAGATTCTCACCACTGGACCAACTGGCAGCATCAGGATGGATGGTAAAGGATTGAGATTATACACAGCTTTAGTTTGCTTGGCTCCACAGTCAACAGTCTTGGCACCAGCAGCCAGGAAATTAAAAGGCGCATTGCCATGGGAAAAGTCTGCTGTTAGGGGCCTCTCCAAAGTACTGAAGAGCAATGGTGTCTCTCTGGAGACTAAGGTGCGCCTGATACAGGCCATGGTCTTTGCAATCACTTGTTATGCATCAGAGAGTTGGACAATGACCAAGGAGGATAGAAAGAGAATTGATGCCTTTGAGCTGTGGTGCTGGAGAAGAGTATTGAGAATACCATGGACTGTTAGGAAAACAAACAGATTTGTCCTGGAAAGGGTTAAACCGGGCAGCTCCTTGGAGTCAAGGATTCTGAGGCTCCGTCTAACTTACTTTGGACATGTGAGGAGAGACCGGTCCTTGGAGAAGGACATCATGCTTGGGAGGGTGGAGGGACAGCGCAGGAGGGGAAGGCCCTCTATGAGGTGGATTGATTCAGTGACTGGGATAATCAGGATGGGAGTGTCAGAGACAGTGCGATTGGCATAGGACAGAGCAGAGTTTAGGTCTGTTGTACATAGGGTCGCTATGAGTCGCGACTCGACGCCACATAATAACATTTGTAGGCTGCCTCATGTCTCCTCCCTTTAAGATGTAAAGCCTCAGAAATCCTATGGAGGGTTGCTCTGGGTCAGAACCAACTCAATGATAGTGAACTTGACCTTGCCCTAATGTTAGAAGCCCCATGGTATACAAGTTTCTCACACACCAGCAGCTATTTCCAGTGTCCTGTGCAGTTCATGACATCAGAGACCATGTCTCTGGTTAATTATCTTCCATAAAAACAATCACCCAGCCCTGACCAATGCCTGTTTGAAAGCATTACTTAGAAGATTCATTCGGGAAAGAAAACATGGAGTAAAAGTAGGAGGACTAAAAAAACTTTATCACTTTCTAAAGATTTGGTCAGATAATTACGAAATGAGCATATCTTAATTAAGGCTACAAAACTGTTTCTCATCTAATTATTAAGAACACATTGGGGGCCAGAGCTGTTCATCTGCAAACTGGTGGGTGAAAGCTTATCTCTAGATATGAGACAGTGTTTACTTCGTTTTTCTAACTCCTCGGAATAAAGCTAAGTCTGGAAGTGTCACATCACCTACAGCATTTCCAAAGCAAGACAGGCCTGTGAAGATGTGGACTATTCGCACAGTGTCACCAAACCCTAATCTGAGGAAAGCGAAAGTGGGAAGAGGTATTCAGGAAGTCGGTCATAGGGTATATAGGAAGTAAACAAAAGAAAAGGGGATAGAACTTTAGGTGAAATGGTGACAGATTCAACAAAGGCAATGGTTTTAGAGAGAGCAATTAGTAATTAGGGAAATCAACAAGTCATTTTCCTGTTGTGTTGAGCATGAAGGGTCAGTGGCAGATAAAAACCCACCTGGTTGAAGCCAGAAGTGGCACAAGGGTCTTACATGCTATGGTGAGGAACTTAATTTGGGAGGAGACAGCAGGGTATATGAAACAGGCTTTGCATTTGAAGTAGACTCAAGTTTTTCCACCCATAAGACTGGGAATTCTTAGTCAAGAATCTGTAAGGAAGAGCTAGGTGAGAGGCACCTGAGAGCTAGAATGAGGCTCTAAGGAAGGGCGCTGACAGGATGGTCAGAGATCCTTTCAACAGCACCCAGGAAGTCTGGCCTTATCTGCCTTTCAAGTGAACTCCTTTGCCAAGCTACTAAAAATTGATTCTAAACTTCCAGGAAGGCTACACTTATAATTCTAGAATTCATTTCTCAGTCACTGATCCCCTTATACAATCGCCCATGGAGCCCGGCTGGCACAGTGGGGTTAATCATTGGGTTGCTAATGCAAGGCTTGACCCGTTCAAAACCACCAGTTGCTATTCTGAAAAAAGATGAGGCTGGCTGCTCCTGTTGAGCCTCAGAACCCGAATAGGATCTCTAATAGGGCCCTGGAGGGTAAGCTATGAGTCACTTCTGACTCAGTAACATACTAACCTCGGCAATATTGCACATTCAACAGTTAGCAAGTAGAAGCTACATTATTTCCGTTTCCTAAACTGCCAATCAATTGCTGAACAATTCTGGTGGAATTAAAGCAGTAATTTTAGAAAAATCAGGGTAATGCTATCAGTATCAGCTGGACTTTGCTGCTGAAGTTTCAATTACCAAACATTATCTCTATGATAGTTTAAGACTGGCAAAGATGAGAGGTTCCACTGGAGTTTGGGATTAAGATCAGAATTCTGGTTATTTCTTCTCTTGAGACACATACTTGATTAAGAATTATCTTTAAGTATCTAACTATGGCTTATTAAAATCAAAGGCCAATATACTTATAAACTAAATGTAACATTTTGCATTTTATAGGAAGTTGACTGAATTTGGGACTTTGAGTCTATTATTTCAAAATGTATGTTCTTTGGTGGCTGACAATTACTTGCATAACAATTACTCCCTTAACAATTGACAACACTGCTGAAAACATCTCGAATTGCCTGAAATAAATTTTTACACGCTGTACCTTCAAGCTTGAAATTATAGATCACTGAATTTAACATTACTTACACCTGTCCCCTTTAAAAATAATGGCATCATGTGAATTATACTAACGACTCTGTCTATTCTCATGTAAAACAATCATAGGCATTTGTACATAATGCACATGCAGCTACAAGTGAGGTGCCCATGGAGCTGATTTTGGCAAGTCTTTAAAAAGGTTTCTAAAGTTAAATAGCATTTAATACTGGGGCATTTACACTGAAGGTAGCAAAATAATTCTTAATGGGGTATCTGTAAAATAGAGCCAAGGTTTAAATAATAGAGAATACTTATTCACAACATTCTTTCCTACACCAGTTTTATTTAAAACACAAATAAGTATTTGTTTTTTCAGGGATGGCAAATGGTTGAAATAATGCTGAACATGAACCATTGGCTAATACAAGGGATTTAAATATGAAACAAAGTTATTTTTTAAAAAACAAACAAATAAAGGTTATATACAAAAGGGAACTGGAATCTGTAAGGTGATCCCAAAAATCAAATGAGTACAAAATCTGTGGTGAAACCAGAACATTCCACCTCTGCTTTGGAGGGCTATCATCCAACATTTGGTCACTGAAGATGGATTGGTAGAGAGGTATTTACATAGAAATTTCAAGTCATTTTTGCTTGTGCAGAAGCATCCAGGTCTTCCCAAGACTGAAAGGGAAGTCCTGTGGCTCTCTTCCTTTTCCATGTTCCCAGCAAGACTATGAAGTTCAACTCTTGACGAGCTGCTTACAACAGCAGTTCCTTAGAAGCCAGCATGACATGTGGGCCAGATTTCCCTGTGAGAGATAAAACTGGCCCCAACAACAAAATTATCAAAGTGGAGAAGTAAGTCCTTTCTTTTTCCTTCTTATTAGGTACAGTATGTATCTCTTTTCAAGACAACTACCATCATACTTGTTTCTTCACAAGACTAAACCCTTAAGGTGACTGATATGAAGGAGACCAACACGAAGAAATAAAACTCAATTTAGAAATGGAAGAAAATTATAGACCTGGAAGGTATACAATACACCCCCAGAGATCTTCAGCCCTGCTACAGTCCATAGGTCCGTACTGGCAGCTTAAAGGGATTCTTCACCCCACCCTAATCAATTAGTTAAAGGGATCCAAACAAATATTGGGTGAAAGAGCTTGTTGGGAGTGTCAAAATAAAAATAAAATTTAAAAAAAAAAAAATCCATTTGTTGTCCCTTGGGCAATTCAATCCCAATAGGAGGCCAAGTACTTAAGAAGGGACAACTTTCATATTAAAAAATTCCTCAAATCATGTCACCATCTCTTACTGAGAATCCAAGGTATCCCAGAATAGAAAATTAAGTTTCAGGGGACCCCTGAGGCACTTTAAAGCCTTAAAGAATTACAGTAATTAATTAGCTATTGCTCTTCAGAGGCTTATGGAGCAGAAGCCTCAAAATCGAGTCCGACGTTAGGTCCAGATTATGGGATTCCTAAACTACTCCACCCTCTGTGAATCTTGTTGAAATGCTACATTTAAAAAGACATACAAATTAAACACAAATGCATTGAGGTGTGTGTTTTTTTTCTTCTTCTTCTTCTTGTGGTAGCATGAAATTTGGTCCTTAATGATAGCAGCTGTCATCATTCTTTTCAAATTCAGGTAATAAGTATATGAAGACAATACATAAAAGAAATAATACAAAGGAAAAACCAGCCAACCCAAATGACCAACGCCTCAAGGAGTCACAATTTCTCTCTGCATTGTTTCACTTGGATCCTCCTCTCTTCAAGTCTCCCTTTGTGGAGTGGAAGGGGAAACAAAAACTTTCTCTCACAAACACTAAACAAGGACATCAAATGAATAAAATGCAAGGAGTGACTTTAAAAATCTGACCCCTTTAAAAGGAATCTGGGACACGTACAGGTATTTCAGAGGTATACTTCTGATTCGGGGTAAATTCTACACTAATGAAATGATCATTGTGGGTAAATGTCATAATAGATGAACTTAAGTCCAGTTTTTGGTGAGTTGTTTCTTTTTTTTTTTTTTTTTTAAAAGTCTTTTTTCACTATGTCCTTCAGCTATCAATCATTTCTGACAGCTCTAGCAGAAGGTCCTCTTCATTTTTTCCAGGATCTAGGTCAATCTCGGCTTCTAATTTGCCTCCTGAAATCTCCCATATTAGTTTTTCAAAGTCATCGTCCACAGAGAGCATGGGCTTTCCTGCAGAAACAGAGCTGAGTCGGCGAGTTTTCACAGCTACTTGGGATGAGGACGGGCCAGATACTTCTGGTGGTGAGGGATCGGAAGAGGACTGAGGTGGTGGAGGGAGCACAAGACTGTAAAAGGAGAGGGGGAAAACAGAAAATTACCCTTTGTCAATGGTTGGCTGAAGTCACCTGATATCTCTCTCTCTCACACACACTCACACTCTCACACACACTCTCTCTCTCCCCCCCCAACCCCCTTTGCCCCAGTCACTGAGTTAATCCACCTCAACCAGGGTCTTTCTCTCCCGCGCAGTCCCTCCATCCTCCCAAGCATTGTGTCCCTCTTTAAGGATTGGTCTCTCCTGGCTACATGCCCAAAGTATGAGAGAGCGAGCGCTTCAAAATCCTAGCCGCCAAGCAGAGACATGGTTTCATTCTTGTCAAGATTGACTTATTTGTTTTCTTGGCAGTCCATGGTATGTTCATTCTTCCCCAGAACCACACTTGGAAAGCATAGCTCCTTCTGCAGAGCAAGTAATTTTGAAGACCATGGCCTGGATCAGGCACACTTTAGTCTCTAGACTGACATCGTTGCTCTTTAGCACTCTGGAGAGGTCCCTGACAACAGATTTTCCCAATGCAATCAATCTTTTAATTTCCTGACTGCTGGTGTTAAGAAGTGTTGCTTGTGGAGCTGAGCAAGCTGTAACTGTGAACAACCACAATCTCTTCTCCATTTATCATGGTGCTGCCAACTGGCCAAGTGGTGAGAAACTGTCTTTTTGATGTTAAGCTTCAATTTATACATAGCTAACTATAAACATTTAAAGTTATCTAGTAGTGTGTTATTCTCTAAGTTTAGTTAGGGAGCTGTAGTAGTCTGGTCTGTAGGGCTCTGCACTGCTAGCCCAAAGGTGGTATTTTTGTGGCTGTTCGAATCCACCAGATGCTCTTTAGAAGATGGGCATTCCCCCTCCCATGTGAATTATATACAGGATCCCCAAAACCTGCAAGGATGGTTATCGTAAGAATCAGCTCGAATTTGGAAGAAATGAGAGGATTAACTCAATGGCTCAAAACCTTGGAGAGATTCTTAACGGCTGTTTATTCCACATCCTACTTCCCAGTCATTCGGCACATTCTGTCTGCTGAACTTGAAATATTGAGTTTTTAAAGAATATTTGGTAAAAAAAGGACTGTGCAGCATTACCTGTCCCTAGGTTTCTCTGTCTCAGGCACAGTGACTGGTGTGTCCTCTGCTTTGTCCTCAGAGAGGAGGGGAACAACAGCCTAGAAAAGTAGAAATAATGGTAAATCAATGAGCCAGTCAGGATTTTATTTCAGCATATTCATCTTCTTTAAGCCGGGGAGTTCAAGAATCAGTAATCCAAAAGGTTGCCCGTACCATAAGCAAAATACTTTGCCACCCAAAACCTAGTTAACCACTCCCTCAGTTCTGCCACTTTATAAATGTCCAATTGTAAATGCAAAATATAGAACTACCCAAACAACTAAAATGCTTAGAAAATAGGATATACTGCTGTGAAGAGCTTAAGTAATACAATCTGTGTCCTGCTCCTCCACCACAAGGATAAGCAGGCAGCAACAAGCCAGCCCCTTACCATAGCTGTTCTCTTGGCTGGGATCTCCTGCAGGATGCTGCTGGAACTGAGCGGCTTTACGGCTGCAATGACAGCTGGCTGGTCCTCTACTGCCTTGCGTTTTGGGGCCAACTTGGGGGATGAAACAACTTTAACCACAGATGGCTTCACATTCATTTTGGGTTTAGCTACAAAGGACAAACAAAATTTGCTTAAAAGCCAGAATTATTTCTTTTACATGGAGGATGATCCAGAATCAACTATCCAAAACTTCTCCATTCTTCAATTCACTAGTGTTTTTCTTTTTTAAAACCAGAGGAAAGATGCACCATGGAAAGGTTAGACAGAACACAAATTTAAAATTCTCAGAAAGGAATCTTAAAAAAAACCTGTCTCTCCCACCCCCTCTCTCCTCCCCTCCTCTATTAGAAATACTACCCTCAACTTGTCTAATTTGTATTATGTTAGCAGGTGCTGTCTAACGAATCAATTCTAACTCATGGCACCTCCATGTGACAAAGGGTTTCTGGAAGACCATCTTTACAGAGCATACTACCAGGCCTTTCTATGATGTATCTGGCCCAAGTGCTTAGCCATCTATGCCAGCAGGATCCTCTAACCAGTATATAACGTAAATGAAATCCAACCCAACAGTTCCTAGGAGTTAGTTAACCTTTGCAACCTTGAAACCCTAAAGCCAAGAAACACTATAGCAAAACTCACCTTTACCCCTTTTTTCCAAAGGCTGTGTTGCACACTTCACATTCAATACGGAATCTCCAATTCCTGAGGTTTCTACTGCTTCCAACTTCTGTGACGGCTTTGTGGTCAGCCGCTTTGCTGGGTGCCGAGTGAAGCCAGGTATGCTAGTGACTACTGGCTTCTCTAGCACTTGAGCATTGCAAGAGGCCCCACCTCCCTGAAGAGGTGTCAAAACAGATTTTTCCTTTTGTGAGACTTCCTTCTCTGGCTGTTTTTGAATGTGCTTTTCTCTCAAGGTCTCACATCTAGTGACTTGAATTTTAGAAGTGCCAATTTCTACAATCTTATTAGAAACCTGTGGATAAATGTCAGCAGCAATGTTAACATTTAGCACCTTAATCTACATGTGAAACATTGTTTAACAGATACCCAACATCCAAGTCAACTGCACTAGCTAAACAATCATTTCCTGACTGCAGAAGTTGATTATAAACACTAATGATGTTGAAATAATCAAGGCATTTGTATAAGATTTATATATAAAGGTAGTAATTTCCTTATTATTTATAATTAGGCACTATAAAACTCTAAATGCCTAAATTTATTTATTTGCATAAGAAAATATTATGTGAGGGAACTCTGGTGGCCGCTGCACTGCAATCCCAGAGGTATGCAGTTCGAATCCAGCAGATGCTTTGCTGGAGGAGAAGGGGCAATCTCCTTCTGTGCCAATCAGATCCGATTTGAAGGTACACACACACACAAAATAATAAAAAAAGAAAATATTATGTGGTCAGTAAAAACAAGTGTTTTGAAGAATTACTAACAATTTTAAAAATACCCTTAAAAAAATACCCTCAAAAATAAAGCTACTAGAGTTTTTGACTGTCTTAAGCATTAAGTATTAAACAAGTTCATATACATATATGTATTAATAAGAAGAAAAATTAGTGGAAGAATTAATACACCTTGTAAGATGAAGCATTTTTAAAATAAGTAAATAATAAAGTAAGAAATTTACTTAGTAAGTTTTCTTCAAAAGTAAAAATTCCCAAATTTTGTACTTTAGAAACCATGATGGTGTGCTCACTTTGGCAGCACATATACTAAAATTGGAACTATACAGAGAAGAATAGCATGGCCCCTGTGCAAGGATGACACGCAAATTCATGAAGCGTTCCATATTTTCGACCCTGAAATTAACCAGTCTGTAATGAAGGCTAACTCCTTTCACCTACAAATTTCATCTTTGGATACAAAGCTAAGTGGATAGTCCTTACGGAGGGACTGTTTAAAAAGAGGCAGGGAAAAAAAAAAAAAAAAAAAAAAGAAACCATGATGGTGCAGTGGGTAAAGAACTGGCTGCCTAATCAAAAAGGAAGCAGTTCAAACTTACAAGGCACTCTATGGCAATTTGCTCTCATAAAGATTTATAGTCCAGGAAATCCTATAGGCAATTCCACTTTGTCTTATATGTTAGCTAAGAATACAAAACAACTCAATGGCAGGGAATGAGTTTCTTTCTCTCAAATTATTACTTTTTATGTGTGTACCATCAAATCAGATTTGACTGTTCCAGGAAATTTTTTCCTCCTTCTCCAGCAGAGCATCTGGTGGATTTGAACCGCGCACCTCTGGGATTACAGTGCAGCTTCTTGCCACTAGGCTACCAGAGCTCGCCAAGAAATAAATTCTAAAAACATGAATGGCCAATCAAAAACAACTTTATAAAGACAGAAGGCACAAACAATAAGATGTAGGGGGGAAAAAAACTCTCTCAGACAAGTACAATGTATATTAAGTAGTTAATAGAAATTTACAGTATGTTAAAATAACTTAACTCTAGCGTTATAATCATAGGCTTGAACCGCCTGGGTCATTGTGAGGTAACCAGAAGGTGATAGCTCTCTGGTGGTTTGAATCCACTAGTAGCTCCATAGAAGAAAGACAGGCAATCTCCTGCTGTGTAATTTAGTCGTCGAAACAGAATAGGAAGTTGGTTCTGACTTGACAACAAATTTTAAATGGGAGTTCTAGTGGCACAGCCTATAGGAAATTATGCTGCTCCCACAAAGATGGTGCCTCTCTAGTGGGGTTGAATCTACCAATGGCTCCACGGAGGAAAGATGGCCAATCTCCTCCCACTTCATTAATAGCCTGGGAATCCAATGGAGATTCAATTATGAGTTGGTTTCAACTCAATAGCACTAAGTTTGAGGCTATTTTGTGAAGAAAAATGGATAATTTATCTCCTCTGATGTGATTTACAGCATCTGAAAAAGCCAATGGAGGTAAGCTTTCTACTGGTTCTGACTTGACAGCAATGAGTGAGAAAACAAAAACCTGTATTATTCCTTGCTTGCCTCAGAGAAAATAAAGCCTCCCCACACTAACCTTACATAAGCTCACCTCTGTAGCCTCTGTTCTCACCAGAACACCGCCCTGAGGTGCAACTTCACCTCCTTCCTGAAGTTTCTTCTCATCTTTTGAACCTGTACTCAAAAACACATCACTTATCATTTCATGCATCTTCCAGAAAGTCAAACAAAATATTTTTAATGATAAAGACAAGAAAAAGACAATTCTGGGTAAAAGTCTTTGCAAGGTCTTCAAATACAGCTTAGAATAGGAAAGATTTATATGATGCCGCAGTCAGAACACTGCTTATCTTTGTGGACTTATCTAGTGCACTGACTGTTTTACTTGCAGGCTCCTCTGACAGACCTTTGCTGGCAACAACATGTGGCAAAACCACTGGCTTTTTAACTTCACTATCAGAGCTTTTCAAAGTTATAAGGACAACCCCAAGTCCTGACATTAACTTCCATGAGTGTCTTGGGAGCCGTGCTTTGGGAAGCTATTAGGGGGAGAACCTAGAGATCACATGGTTTGTTACCTGTTCTTTTGGCGAAGCGCAGAAGCCTCTTTGCCCCTGCTGTGCCCTCAGGTGGCGGCTGGGAGTTGGTGCTGCCCTCTGAGATCTGCTGCACCCGCAGGGCCTTCTCCAGCTTAATTTCCTCCAGCGTTTTAACATGCACCTCGTGCACTGACTTTGTTTTACTTGCAGGCTCCTCTGACAGACCTTTGCTGGCAACAACATGTGGCTTTTTAACTTCACTATCAGTCTTTAACTTGATGCAAGTCACATCCTTTTTGGTTTTCTGCCTCTCTGCTTCCTGTTGCCGATGTTTCTTTTCAGCGAGCACCTCAGAGAAGGTTTTGATTCGTATATTGGGGGAGCTTCTTGCTGAGGAAGCAGAATCATCAATTTTTGACGGCCCTTCTGTCTTGAGCTTAGTTTGCAATTCTCCACGCTTTTGACTGGCTCTTTCAAGAAGAATTTCTTCTAGTGTCTTCACATGGATCTCACCAACTTTAGTAACTTTCTCTGTATTCATGGGGAAGAAAAAATGTCATTGAATAGTGGACAGGCATTACTTAGGAAGTGAAAATTTCCAAAATTTTATTTCACTATATTATGAATAGAGTAAAATAAGAAAATATAACTTTGTGGACTGTATTAGTTACAATTTTTAATTTTAAATCACTGTAGGTTTTCAGGTGGCTTGACCCTCAAAGAAAACTCTTAAAAGGCAAATACTGTTCATGTATATTTCTATTCAGGGACATGTGAAAGCCATGTACTACGTTTAGTATTAAAAATAGCAATTATTATTAATTCTTCCATTTATTCAAACTTACAGGTATGTGGTGGACATTATAGTAGTAATGAAAAATACAATCTCAGACAGAAAGGCAAATAAAACAAACCAGCAATGGAGATGTGTTAAAAGCTGCTTAAATAAAGGCAGTAAAGTCCTACAGACACAGACAGCATGTGTGTACAGCAGGCTAAGGCATTCTTTAGAGGAAATGAAATGTTATATTTAAATGATGAAAATGAAGTAAAACTAGACAAAAGGCCTAGAGACCTAGACCGATAAACTGTGAGACCTGTAAGACAGGTATTTTAATGTAAAATGTACACAACTGAAGTATAAGAAAAATATAAGGAAGAAAACAAAAATTACCTGGACAGATAAAACAAATATTAATAGTTGTTTTAAGTTTTCAGGAGTTTTCCTAAGCAAGCATCTCTACAAAACTGGAATCACCCCATACACATTAATATTTTTTCCAAGTTTCTGTATTAGGGAGCTTTAGAAGTCGAGTGGCAAAAAGCTGCACGAAATCCCAAAGACACAAAGCCTAAAAGCACCAACTGCTCAGGCAGACAAAAATGGGCAATCTCCTCCTATGCAATTTACTGCTTCTGAAATCCTGCTGGAGGAAAAAATATCAGGAGCTAGTTTCAGCATTTACTGACCTGCTGCCTTCTCGCTGTTTGGGTCTGAAGATGTACCTAATCGCTCCTTCAGAGACTTAGAAATGTGAACTGTAAAAAAAAATTAAAAAAAAAAATTAAAAACCCTGAAGTTGGACAGAGATGTATTTCACAGATAAACTATCAAAGTTCACATATTTGGCTTTTACTTTACAAACTAATACAAATAGTTTAAGAAAATACTCTTATGGTCTTAAATTTATTTCCTCCCTAGAACAGACTTAGGTGCATCATGAATTTTGTAGAGAACCATGGAAAACGTGTTAAAAAAAATCACTGTTCTTCAGATCTGAAAAGCAGAAACTACTAGATTCTGGGAAATAATTGTTATTGTTCAACTTCCAAAAGTCCTATTGTCATCAGAAGATTTTTACTCTCACCTAGATGATAACATAATTATGATAAAAACAAAAGGGGGGAAACATGGGAAGCCAATACTAAGTATCTGTAATAAACTGAATGCTCTTTGATTAAAAAAAAAAGAAAAGGATTTTTACTCTAAGCCTGTATTTAGTATATGTTCTTTAGTTGAGAACCTTCAATGTTACTGACAGGCAAGGTGAAAAGGAGGTATAGAGGAAAGGAATTCCACTGCAAATAAAACAGTAGCTTCAGGCTTATTCAAAGAGCACCTGAAAGTTCCAAAAGAAAAGCACTAAAAAAAAACCAAAAAAAAAAGAGAGAAATAAAGAAAAGAAAAGCACTGTTCCAGTCTTGAAGAATAGGAAGAGGTTATACATTTATCTTCAAGAACGGAGCTGTTCAAAATATGAATGTTAGCCTTTGATCTCTGTGTATAACCTTTCACCTTTTTCTAGAGTCCAAACTCTAACATGGATGAAAAGGATTTACATGATCTGACCCTCGTTCCCTCCCCAGACATCATCTCTTTAGTCTAATCCTACAGTTCATCCTTACTCTGTGCCAGGAACACATGGTACTTTCTTAGATTTGTGCTTCCCCATGTCTCTGCCCAGAACACAGTTCTGACCCTTAACTCCACTCATGCTTCAGGTTGAAGCATCTGATGCTAATAGCTGACAGATGACAAGACTAAGTGTTCTTCCCACGTGCTCCCATAAACCTCATACTTCTTTCATCACTGAACTTTTCACAATATTTCTATCTTCTGTTCACAATGGAGCTCCAGTTGGATTCCTAACCCAAAGTTCATGTTGTTCAAATAGACTGGTGGCTCTACGGTAAAAGATGGGCAATCTCTTCCCGTGTGATTTACAGCCTCAGAAATACAATGGAGAGTTAGCTATGAGTCAATTCCAACTCAACAGCAATTATTTTTATTTTTTCAGTTATATCACAAGTTCCTGAGAAGAGTCACAGTATTTCTTTTGCTCAATGGTTTATATCTGTAACAGAATAAATGCCTGATGTTTGATGAACAAAGAATAAAAGAGATGCCAGACGAAAAGTCCAATTTAACTTATCAAAATAATGGAAAACTTTGGCTTTTAAGACAAAGTGTCATGAAGTACACAGCACACATTAGAGCAGAGTTACCTTTTTTTGATGTCTTGTCAAAGCTGGTTTCCGGTGCATCAACCTTCTTGCCTAGTCTCTGTGCAAGGCTACGCTTTAATGGAGGATCACTGTCACCACCTATAAATAGGAAGAATGTAAATTTTAAGAGCTTAATGAAATACAATCAAAAGTACACAATACAGACTAATTCTAAAAATTTTCTGTATTTTTATGATTAATCTATTAGCCAGCTTCCTTTAAATCAAGTTATCAAAAAAAAAAATTAAAAAATGTCAGAAAGAAGAGACAAGAAAAAAAAAGGTCACAAAGGTTTGACTGTATAACCAACCACTTATCAAATGAACAAAATATTCTAAGCCCCAGTTAAAGCTGATATTCAGAATTAGGCCAACTGCTATACTCTAAGAAACTTCACATCAAATATATTTGCAGTGATTAGAAAATTAGCAAGAAAAACATAAAATTTTGATTCTTCCTTTAATTTGAAGACACTGAAAAATTCTTAGTCTTTCTTCAATTCCAGGTAAGAAATCTAAAGTTCTGAAATTCGTATCTTATTCATTAAGCCAAGAAGTGATAAATATAGTCAAGATATGAATTCTGGATTCAGTTTAGGATTGTATCCTATTTAAATGTTAAACATTTTTAACTTTTTTAAAAAAATTGTTAAATTTTTAAAATTTATTTTTCCAATTGCTTAAGTGAAGATTTATTTATTTATAAGGACCTATTAAAACTCTGGAAGCCCAAAAACCTTAATTTTCCCCCCTCATTTTAAAAAAGATGCTGCATGAAATTTACATATATGCTAACATTAAGTAACATACTTTAAAATTTGTAACTGACTCTTTTTATCAGAGTCATCAGAGCCACAAATCTGATTTTCTCTGCCTTGGCTTGCTTAATCTGTGCTCTAAAGAGAATGCTTCATGTTGTTGCTATGCACCATTGAGCTGCTTGCAACTCATAGCAACCCTATATTCAAGAGCCCTAAACCCTGCTCTATCCTGGGCCAACCTCATTGCCTCTGACATATACCCTCAATACCCCAGTTAGTGAATCGATCCATCTCATCGAGGGTCTTCCTCTCTTTCGCTGCCCCTCTACCCTCCCAAACATGATTTTCTTCTCTAAGACTGGTCCCTCCTTATAACATGTCCAAATTATGTCAGATAAAACTTCAGAACCTTTGCCTTCAAGGAGCAGCTTGGTTTCACCTTCTCCAAGATGAACCTGTTTGTTTTCCTAGAAGTCCATGGTATATTCATATGTTACAAAGCAGGATTGTTCTACAGGGCTTTCTACTCAGAGGCCACTGGGTGCTGGTGAATTTGAACAAGCCATTTTTAGGTAACAACACAAGGCTCTATGGACTGTGCCACCAGAGGTACCTTTAGGCAACTATACCTGACTGTGCTTCCCAGGGACCTTATTTCATTTATATTGTTGTTCACTGCCACTGAGTTGGTTATTGACCACTATCTGAACCTCTAGGGGTTTTCCCAAGGCTACACATGAGAGGAGACTGCCCATCTTTCTCCCAAAGAGACGCTGGTAGTTTCAAACTGTTTGCCTTTAGGAAGCACGATTCCACAGTTATTAGGGCATCAGAGTTCCCATTTACAGGAACAGTTTAATCGAATTCTTTTCATAATAGCTTTATGAGTAAAGGCATTACCAATCTGCATCTTTTGACTGCCTGTAAACTTCAAATAAACCCCTGAAGTAAGATTTAAAAAATAATCCTACCGAAAGAGAAACATTAGGTCTGGTATACAAGATTCAGTAGTAGTATTGTAAAACAGCTTCATAATATAAAATCCACTGTCATCAAGTTGATTGTGGCAGCCCTCCAATGATTTCTGAGGGTGGAGATTTTAATGGAGTGTCTGCAAGGTTTGAACTGCTCACCGTTAAATTAGTAGCCCAACAATTAACATGCTACACCATGAGAACACCTTTAATATAAAATAATAGTGCCAATACATTCAGGAACACAAATTACATTTTAATAGGATGCTTTTTTCCTTTCAATAATATTAAATGTTGAAAGAAACAGAAGTACTGAAACTCAAATCCAAACTCACTTGTCATCTCTCTGACTCAGAGATCCTTTTGAACAAAACTGCCTCATAGTTTTCAAGACTGTTACAGAAGCAGAGTGTCGAATCTTTCTTCTGTCAGTTGACAAGTGACTTCACACCACCCACCTTTTTGGTTAGCATGTGAATCCCTCATCAAAGCAAAGAACGAGGGGCCAGCATGATGGGGTAGTGCTGCTCAATGGAATGGCAAACCACTATTTACTTACAGTGGTTTTGTGTGCAGAGAGCTTGGTGAAGCAATATTGCTCATGAGTTGTAATCAAATTAATGGCAATGGGTTTGATTATGATTTTATCATGTTCATACATAAATAAGGAGAAACCAAGAGTCATGCACAATTTTATCTTACCTCCTGAAAATTTTCGTTTCCCCAGTCTCTCAGTAAGGCTCAATTTAACCATTGGTTGTTCTCCTAAAAAGACAAAAATAGTTGGTTTTTTTTTTCCAGTAGCCAATTTCTTTGTATTCAGTGAAAACTAAGGGTGGCAAAATATGTAGAGATATTAATACACCACATGGCCTACTGAAAATTAGTTGCAGGGGGGAGAACAACAATGCCCCCCACTCAGTATCTATTCCTTTTTATCTAGTAATAATTTTAAAAATCAAATGTCAAGTCTAGAAGGAAGAATCAGAATACTCCTGAAGAATAGCAGACAGGTGTAAAAGGACAACACATACTCTATGAAATTGGTTCTAAAATCCAAGTTATATCTTAGCTTATACACTGATGTGTTAAATGAAATTCTACTCTACCTCAGTGATAATTCCACTTTGTCATTTTCTTTGACCATATGTCCGAGCAAGAAGTAAACTCTTTGCTGTTTCTTTCTTATTATAATGGCACAAATATGGTAGTTAAAGTACCCACAACATGTTCTAAGGAGGGACCAGTCCTTGGAGAGAAACATCATGCTTGGGAGGATGGAGGGATGGCACAGGAGGGGAAGGCCCTCTAGAAGGTGGACTGATTCAGTGACTGGGTTAATAATCGGGGTGGGTGTGTCAGAGACAGTGCGAGGGGCACAGGACAGAGCAGAGTTTAAGGCAGTTGTACATAGGGTCTCTATTGAGTCGCAAGTGACTCGATGGCACATAACAACAAAGTACCCGCAAATATACTACAAACACTTGCTCATAATTCTTACTGAGTTTAAAACATTGAAGACTTTTCTATTTTTCTGTAACTTAGAAGGTTTTGGTCTTTACTCACAATGAGCAGTCAATACAGGTGAACAGATGACCTGTAAATATTGTTGTTGTTTTAGTTATGTGCCATGTACAACAGCCCTAAACTCTGCTCTGTCCTATGCCAATCACACTGCCTCTGACACACCCATCCCGATTACCCCAGTCACTGAATCAATCCACCTCATAGAGGGCCTTCCCCTCCTGCACTGTCCCTCCACCCTACCAAGTATGATGTCCCTCTCCAAGGACCTGTCCCTCCTTACAACATGTCCAAAGTAAGTTAGACGGAGCCTCAGAACCTTGCCTCCAAGGAGCAGCCCGGTTTGACCCTTTCCAGAATGAATCTGTTTGTTTTCCTAGCAGTCCACGGTATCCTCAATACTCTTCTCCAGCACCACAGCTCAAAGGCATCAATTCTCCACCTATCCTCCTTAGTCATTGTCCAACTCTCTGATGCATAACAAGTGATTGCAAAGGCCTGTCTCAGGTGCACATAGTCTCCAGAGAGACACAACTGCTCTTCAGTACTTTGGAGAGGTCCCTAACAGCTGACTTTCCCATGGCAATACGCCTTTTAATTTCCTGACTACTGGTTACAAGAGTGTTGACTGTGGAGCCAAACCAACTAAAGCTGTGAACAATCTCAATCTCTTCACCATCCATCCAGATGCTGCCAATTGGCCTAGTGGTGAGAATCTTCCTCTTCTTAACATTGAGCCTCAATCCATATTGGAGGCTGCAGTCCTTGACCCTCTGCAGCAAGCACTTCAGCTCCTCCTCAGTTTCAGCAAGCAGGGTTGTGTCATCTGCTTAACGCAAATTGTGACTAGATCTTCCACCAATCCTGATGCCACATTTCTCCTCATAGAGTCCAGCCTCCCAGATAATCTGTTCTCCATACAGGCTGAAAAGGTATGGAGACAGGACACATCCCTGGCGTACGCCCGTCCCAATTTTGAACCATGCAGTGTCTCCTTGCTCTGTTCTGACATCTGCCTCTTGGTCCAAGTAGAGGTTTCTCATTAGCATGATCAAGTGTTCCGGGATTCCCATTCTTCTCAGTCAGTCACAGTTTGTTATGATCCACAGAGTCAAATGCCTTTGCATAATCAATGAAACACAGATAGACATTCTTCTGGTATTCATTCCCTGCTTTCAGCTAAGATCTACCTAACATGAGTTACAATATCCCTAGTACCACGACCCCTTCTAAACCCAACCTGGACTTCTGGCAGTCCTCTGCTGGCGTGCTGTTCCAGTCATTTTTAGATAATCTTCAATAGAATCTTGCTTGCATATGAAATCAATGAGATTGTTTTATAGTTTCCACACTTTGTTGGGTCACCCTTCTTTGGAATGGGAACAAATATAGATCTCTTCCAGTCAGTTGGCCAAGTGGTTATTCTCCAGATTTCCTGGCACAACCTGGTGAGCACGTCCAGGGCAGCATCTGTTAGCTGAAATATGTCAATTGGTATACCATCTATTCCTGGGGCCTTATTTATTGCCATTTCCTTCAAAGCAGCCTCAACTTCTTCATCACCATAGGCTCTTGCTCATATGTTGTTTCATGAAATTCTTCTGTGTCTGTCAATTCCTTTCGATAAAGTGACTCAGTATATTCTTTTCATCTTCTTTAAATACTTCCGGGAAAATGGGATGATTAAGAATTCCAACCTTTTAAATAGTAAAGAATTAAATGTGCCAACTTTTCATCCTAATATCAAATCAACATATTAAATAAAGTTTGCCTGAAAATTCAAAGGTTTTTTTTTTTTTGGTTAGGTGCTATCAAGTACGACTCTATTATGACCAACAGATCTGAACCCTGCTCTATCTTGTGCCATCCTCACAATTTCTGACACACTTGAGCTCACTGCAGCAGTCACTGTGTCAATCCATCTGGTCAAGGGTCTTCCTCTCCTATGCCAACCCTCCACCTTTCAAAGCATCGTGTCCCTCTCCAAAGAACAGCCCCTTCAAAGGTATAAACTCTTAAAAACTGCTATTCCAGCGCCCCAATCACTAAGCCGCTGCCGAGGACTCAGCTGCCTCCCCCTCGAGCCCCCCTCGCTTCCCGATGCTCCATCCCCTCTGCCCGCCTTCTCCCACCACCGCCTTCCGCAGGCCCTTTCCACTGAGGAAAAGGAATCCGCTATCCAGAACTTCCACTCTTTCGACCCCTTTGCTGATGCAAGGGTGATGACCTGCTTCCTGCTGGGACTGAGGATTATATCCATATAAGAATTCAACAGAGAAATGGCAGGAACACCCTTACAACTGTCCAAGGGATCGCTGATGATTATGATAAAAAGAAACTAGTGAAGGCGTTTAAGAAGTTTGCCTGCAATGGTACTGCAATTGAGCATCCGGAATATGGAGAAGTAATTCAGCTACAGGGTGACCAATGCAAGAACATATGCCAGTTCCTTGTAGAGATTGGACTGGTTAAGGACGACCCGCTGAAGGTTCATGGGTTTTAAGTGCTTGTGGCTCACTGACACTTAAGTGAGGATTTCCTTGCAATGAGTAGAAAATTTCCCTTCTGTCCCTTGTCACAAGTTTCAAACTTCACAGCTTGTATAATGTAACCATTTGGGGTCCACTCTTAACTTGGACTAGTGTAACATTTTCATGCAATAAACTGAAAAGAGCCAGAAACCGCCCCCCCCAAAAAAACCACACACACACAAAAAAACCAAACCAACAAAAAGAAAAAACACAACCCCTGCTATTCCAGTTACAACACTAAACTCTACCCGTAACTCACCTTGTTTAGTGGACAGAGTTACTGTCCTCACCACAGTGCGGACATTCTCCTTCTCTGGACCTGGAACAGGCTGGGATTGTAGTAAAAGGCTCGAAACTCCCGAAGTACCTTCTGAGTAAAGCAAGAACAAGTGAATTACAGAGAGTAACAAAGCTATTACAATTTCATGTGACCAATCTAGTCAAACAAGACTAATTAGTGATGGGAGGAAAAATAATTCCTGTCTCTTATCTGGGACACAAGGTGCAAATGAAAGATAAATATTGTTGAGTGCCTTCAGTGTTCCCTAATTTTACTTACCAACAAGGCTAAGCTTGTAAAGCTCAACTTTTCGCTGTCAAGACTGAATCAATTCACAGATGACCTTCCAGATTCTTAGAGGCTATAAACTGCATGGGAGAAGACTGCCCACCTTTTTCCTGTGTAGGAAGTTGGGGTTTCAAACTACCCATGTTAGGGGTGATAGTGTGATTCTTTTACCCACTGACCACCAGAGCTCAGGACGTGGCTAAGTTCACTCATCTCAAAGGCACATTAGAAATCAAGTGTGTCAAGCGAATCACTTCCTTCTCAATTTAATCATCTAGAGAAAATGATTCCAAGTGTCTTATTTAAAAAGGACCCTTATGAAAAGTTTCTTCCTTCAAGTATTTTTACTCTAGAACTACAATTTTCAGTGTCTGAAGTACAGTTAAGCTAAGCCAAAATAAACTCCAGAAGTAAATTCTCACAGGACATAAGGAAGTATTCACCCACTACAAAACAGTCCTCCTCCTCCTCCTCCTCAAAGGAGGAGGATAAGATACAGCTCTCATTCTTTAAGGATACTATTCTTTAAAGAATCCTGGCAGCTCAACGGTAAGAAGGTGGCTGCTAACCAAATGTTTCTAAGTCTGAAGCCATCTATTTAACCAGGAGCTCTCCCATGGGTCAGTTTTACTGTTACATGAGGTTGATAGGAGTTGAAAATGACTCAACGGCACCTAACAAAGCTATTCTTAAGAATTTTATTTAAGATAAACAGATTTTTTATAGTTAGGGACTGAAACACAATTATAAAAAATTAAAAAAGCAGCTGGGATTTGAAATGTCTGTGTTTTACTCAAAAACAAGTTACAGAGGTCAAAAGCTCCCTGCTGACTGGCTGTTTCCTTAGGATGTGAGTCTATTCTCTAGCAACATATACAACTCATGATGACTTACCACCTTGCTTCTTAGATTTTTCCTTCATTTTCTTTAATTTGATTTCCTCAAGAGTTTTTATTCCAAAATTCAAACATTCACCTGAGAAACACAAGTAAGAATTACATGAGGAACCGGTGCCTTATTTGAGCTACACATAGCACGCATTCAGATGTTTTCTAAATAAGTAAGATAAAGTAAGTGAAGGAGGGAAACAAAAGATAAAAGGGAATGAGAGGGTGAGGACCATGAACTAAATTAAATCCCAAAGGTAACTGAAGTAGTTTAGAGAAATTTAAGGGTGTTGTTAGATTTAAGAGGGGGCTAAACACCAAAAGCTCCACTCACCTTGCTTTAAATTAACCCCAGGTTTCCAGGTAGAAGCCACTCGTAATCCATTATGAACTTCAGGAGTTGCTTGGAGAATAGGTGTCTTGGTTTCATCACCTTCTTCAGAAAACTGATCTAAATATAAAAATTTAAGGCAAATTTACAATGAAAAAACAAGCCTAGTGCTTTAATCATAATTCTTTTCAATTCATTAAGAAATTTACCATCATCATCTTCATCATCATCAGCAGCATTGATTACAACTGGTGGATGTGTGGGGCTAGGAACATTTTCTGAACTTTCTACTTTCATAACACTCCGCAGCTGGGGGGAGGGATTAGATTGGGCAGACAATTTGTTCTGTTGAACTGTAAGTTGGCTGGCCTTTGCTTCCTCATCTGGTGTCTCAGGCACGGTGGGTAACACAGCTAAACATACAAAATCAGCAGTGAATTAAAAAACAGAATACATTAAAAACTCCTAACCATCTATGTAAGGGAGCTCTGATGGCCTAGTGGCAAGAAGTTTCATTGTAATCTCAAAGGCACGTGGTTCAAGGCCACCAGCCACTCCATGGGAGAAAGATGGCCAATCTCCTCCTATGCCTCTGGAAACCTGCCAGAGGGTCAGCTATGGGTTGGTTCTGACTCAACAGTACGCAACCACCATCACCATCTATGTAAGTGTGGTGTAGCCTCCTTATGAACATTTGTATCTTTTTACATAATTTTCCCAATTAGATTTTAAATTCTCGTGGGGGGGGGAGGAAAAAAAAAAGATTTTAAATTCTCTTAGGGAAAAAAAAATGTGCCTTTGCATGTATCTCTTCATTTAACACAAATACATTCAAATCAGGCACTTAAAATACTGCTGATAAAATGAGGAAAAGGCTAGGTGCACCACAAACATCTGTTACCACGGAGTTAATCTCAACTCAGAAACCCCCTACAGGGGAGAGAGGGAACATCGCCACAGGGTCCTACAGCTGAACTGTCACATCTTTCTCCCAAGAAGTGATTGGTAGATTCAAATTGCTGAATTTCTGGTTAGCAGACAAAGCACTCAGCTCATGCAACATCAATAGAAACATGTTAGACATTTATATTTTGGAACTGTAGAATGTATGTTCAGCTTAGTAACTTTAGGACAGTAAGTAGTTAACATTCATCTGAACCAGAAAGAACTAACAGTCTTTTAGCCTATCTTTAAATAGGAAAAGGAATAACCATCACATGTTAACATGTACAATTTTACTTTAAATGGCTGATAATTTCATTAGGAAACTGCTTAAAAGGGTTCTGAAAACAACACAGAGCTTATGTATAGCTTAATGCTATATGGTCAGTTTATCCCTTCCCTTTTATCTCATGAACATTTATTTGCAACTAGCACTTCCAAAAGTAGTAGCTTTCTGTAATGATTATAACCTAGAGCTCATTGGCAAACATTTTCTGAAAATAGCTTTACAGTTAACATTTTAGAATTTGGAAATCATATACGGTCTATTTCTGAACAACTTAACTCCAAAATTGTAGCAAAGAATTTGCCACGGAAAATGTACAAATAAGTGTGACACCATTTCAATAAAATATATTTTCCAAGGGAGCTCTGGTGGTCTAGTGGCAAAAAACTGTGCTGCAATCCCAAAGGCACGCAGTTCAAATCCATCATATGCTCTTTTAGAGGAGGAGGGGTAATCTCTTCCTGTGCCAGTTGGATCGGTTTCGATGGTAAATGTATTTTCAAAATTTGAAGGATGTATTTGCCAACTCTTGACCTGAAGAACTAAGTTTCTTTACAAAACTTCTATAAGCCTTTTAAGAAAATGAGAAATTATTAATCTCAACTGGTATTCCAACATTTGTGAGGCAGTGTAACTTTTGTCAACAGTTTTAATTGTCTGCCACATACTGGTTTTACTTCCTCCTCTGGAGAGCAGAAAAAACAGGTTCGTAAGACTGAAAGAAGGCATCAAAGTATTTTGTACAGTGCACAGAATAGATGTGTGTTAAATAGTAACTGTTTAATGACAAATGGATCTCACTTTTGCTCGGAGGTAGAAATAGGCCGTCAACGTAACGTCCTCTGTTGTGATGGAAAGCGCAGTTCAGTTTTTGACATCCCAAAGGCTGATTCTCCCAGTAGCAAGGAATCTCACTGCGTTTTTTCTGTAGGAAAGAAAAATATATTTTCTTCAAACAAAAAATAAAGTGAGACAGGGCTTAAAGTTTGGAATTTTCTTTTCTCAGATCAAGCGTATAAAAAGGTCCAGAAAGCGGAGGCATACGAGATGCCTGTGAGCAGCTAGAAAAGTTGCTTAATGTGATATATTTTTGAGCATGATGAAAAGTAATTTCTCCACTATTCTTTCATCTTTGCCTTGATCTCGGCATCTCGAAATGTCCACACTTAATTTCAAAAAGAAAGCTGCTGTCATAGTTAAAATTACGATAAAAACCAGCAGGATTTCAAACTCTTATTAAGCTATTACTGGCCGTGTAACCTTGGTCTTTAAGCCCCACTTTCTTCAGCTAAGAGAAAACACAGCTATCTAACTGCTTTCTTATGATTAATTAATACGTACAAAACATTTAGTAAGCAGAAAGCACTCAACAAGCTACAACTATCATTTGATGCTAAGCTTTAAACAAGTTTCCTCATTAGTGTTTCTTCAAAGTAAAGGGGGGTATGTGTGTGTATCACACTAAAAGACGGCATTTATCTTCCCTCTTATGAAGGAAACTTAAGGGAAAAAGAAGAATACATCTACAGATAAGCTGCAGTTCATACCAACATTATTTCACTAAATAGCCTGTGTAAAGAATATTCAAAACAAAGGATGTCTGAAGCAATATTATTTGGAATAGTTCCAAAATGCAAATGATCCACATTAACATCAACATCAGAATGGCAATACTACAGTACATTCCTACAAAAGAACACTAGTCATAGGAAAGATGGCACCAACGTTACACTTAACACCACAGAAGAAATGAGAGAACAGACAACCACAAAGAGCATACACTGTATGATACTATTTCGGCACAAAAATCACGTGCAGTTACAATGACGGGATGAGGGAAGCTAGCCCTTGGTATATTCACTTCATGAAAGTTCTTTTAGCTTAATAATTGTGGTATGTGTAATTTTCTATATTATAATTAAGTCAATACACACGTCTGAAAAATACTTGCATTATGTTGGCTTTCTCATTACAATATAAAACCCTACATTTTTTTGTGCTATCTACTGCCTCTGAAAACCCACTGGAAGGTCAGTTGAGTCGAATATGAATCAACAGCACACAACAACAGGTTAAAGTTCCAGGACAAATCAAGTTTTAATTTGGAAATCTTAAACATGAAGGAGAATATGGAAGGAGGGAGGAGGAAAAGATCCGTACAAAAAGATCCTTAAAGGCATCACAAAGGGCAAAGATCAAAACTGAATTTACTTAAAAGACTGATACTGCACATCAGTGGTGGGATAATGGAAAAAATCAAACAGCCTCAACATACTGTTTATGGAAATGTGATTTCAATTCAATCTTTCAGGAAGGTAAACTGGAAAAAAAACATTTAAAAATGTATTTTAAAAATTATATAGTTATATAAATTATATATTTTAAAGTATATAAATTTTTGTCACATGCATTATCACCTGTTTTTTTTTCAAAGAACAAATTATCTTTCACTTCCAGTGACAGAACTAGGGTCTTGCCACACTAAAAAAAAAAAATAAGTATAACAGATCCCATTAAAAAATAAATAAATAAAAAATAGTAACAGTTATTGAATTCTTCCTTCCTTGAGGCAGAACCTAATAAAAAAAGTCACTTAATACATGTTTAAAAATGTGTTTTTAATTACCCTGCCATCATCACTGCAGACTACTTATTATGACAATGCAAACTCAGAACTTACATCAATCTCCATGTGACGGAACCTGCACACCTGTCGAAAGCATCGCCCTTCTTGCCATAATGTGCAAACAGTTTCATTTCCTAGTGCAGCTTCACAGTGACGGAATGGGCAGCTCTCACCCTGTAAACAAAAAAGCAAAGAATAAAGAACTGTAGCCCCAAAATATATCCCAGGTAAAATGTCTGGTATACTGAAAGTTTCCTGGAATCTAGATAAGCACAAAGGAGTAAGAAACGAAAGGCACAGTGAAACAATGAATGAATGAGAACCCAAAATCTCTGAAAAGGTTCATTAAAACTAATAAAATTTAAAAAAAAAGAAACGACTAAGGGCAACAACTGGTAACTGCCTATAATCGATTTGACAACATGAGTGGCACAAACTGAGCGACTAAGGAAAAAGACACATGGGAGTATTAGCTATTTTCTCCCCCAGGCACACTCTGGCCTTTCCCTCCTCCCTTGTTTCTTAAATTTTAGTGAAGTTTCACAAAGACACTAGCTCTCACTCATTCATGCATTTTCCTCTTTCCTCCAACCTCTTTGTAATTCTTGTCCAGTATTAGGTAGGTACTCTTTAAATCTTCTGAGCAAGCAAGTGGGTGAGCAAGGAAGGAGTGAGATCTAGCCGGTAATTCAGACTCTAGGCCAAAATCTCTGCAACCGAGCCCTGAGCTCTTCAGGCAGGATGGCCTGGAACTGCTCCTGCACCAGTTATTTCTACAATCTGCTCCTTTGTGTGGATGTCGGGTCTCAGCCACTCGATTGCCAGCTCCTGCAGATGTTGGAATACATCCCTGGGCCTACCTGCCTTCTCACAGCGAAGTGTCTGAACCTCTACAGGGAGGATGCAGGGTTAAGAGGGATTCCTTCATGGGATGGTTTCAAGGTCCTTGACAAAGTTGTCTTCTTCTAGGCTGTTTGATGGGAACCCTGTAGCCTATAATGAAATCTGGACCTGGGGTGCTGATATTAGGACTTCTGGCTCCTCAGCCACCTACATGGCTGCTGGTGATTTTATTTGGTCACCATGAACTTCTTTCCCATTTACTTTTATCCCTGGGTTTCCTTCAATCTCCATTCTGGAATCCTGGGAAAGAACGTCTCAGATACCTAAGCAGCTAAAGCCCGAAAAGGCCACCCTCACTTCTAAGGAGCATTCTGGCTGTGTATCATTTATGACAGATTTGTTTGCTCTTTCGGCTGGCCTTGTTATATTCAATCCAGCTACTTACTCATTTAACATAAAGTTAATAAAATCAAAGTTAGCAAGCAACACACAGGCTGAAGTGCATCCAATTCCATAGGCACTCTGAACAATTAATTAATTAGAGAACACTTAAGGGTATTGCATAGACCTTTTAACTTTTAGAGGACATGGGAAAATTAGTAATGTGCAAAATGAAAAGAAAGGAGAAGAACAATGACTTTTTCTAGGTACACTACACTAAAAACAAGCAACAGATAATAAGCAGATGTATAAAGCAAAATATAAAATCAATTTAGAATGTTAGGATTATCTTATCAGGGAAACTTAGAAAAGTACTAATTTGGATATGCAAATTCTTACTTTGGTACATGTAGAATAGAAAAAAAAATAGCAGTCTTCTCCTTGATTAGGCATGCTGGGTAGATTCTTAGAAGACAAATGACTTCCTGAACACAAGCCACTACTTCTTCAAGTGGAGGACCAGCTCCAAGTCTTCTTGAAACAGGTTTAATCTTCAAGAACACTCAATCACAGAAATCGTCTTTAAAATGTAATCCTAAAATGAGGAAATCAACAATGATTAAAGAATTATAAGTAAATTCTTCCAAATTCCTCCTCCAAATCATCATCATCATCTTGTTGGTAAGTGCTGAAGTATTATTCATAGTGAAATTAAGAACAAAAGATCTGAACCATATTATTGTTTCTTTAGTGCTCCAAAGGGTTTCAAAAGGCCAGTTACTTAAGAAATGGATGCCAATCCTGCTTCCCAGTCTATCTTGTAGCTCTGACAAACTCTTGTCTACAATGGATAACCATTATGGCATTTGACACACCAGTGGCTCAGAGTTCAGTATCACAGCAACATAAAGTCATCTCAATACAGCAAAGTGGCGGACAAGTGATGAACTCCTAAAAGTGTTCTCCCAAACACAATTAACTGGAACCAAATTTTAAATACAAAGACCTGCCAAGTAAGTCCTGACTGACTTAAAAAGAGGCTTCCAACCCACAGCTTATTGTTAATTAAATCCAATCAACCAGGTCCTGATTAATTTTAAATAAGAGGCCTCCAGCCCACACCTGATTGTTAATAAACCCAATTAACCAATCAGCTTACACACAATAACAAAATTTTTAAAAATTGACCATTACACCTGACTTTCAATTAAAACAAAATATACTCCAGAGAACAAGTGGCTGGCACAGAAGCCCCCCCCCCCAAAAAAGAGACTAGTCAGGGCCCAACAGACTTTTAAATACAAAAGCCTGCCCTCCAGGTCCTGAGAGACTTTAACAAGAGACTTCCAGCCCACAACTGACTGTTAATAAACCCAATTAACCAATCAGCTTACACTCAATTGTTAACAAAATTTAAAAAAAAACAACACACCAAAAAAACCCCCCAAAACCAGTTTCCACCCAACTTTCAATTAAAACATACCATCCAGAATCCAAGTGCTTCATACAGGAGCCCCCAGTTTGATAACTAGTCAAGGCCCAAAAGATGTTTAAACACAAAAGCCTTTTTAGTGGTCCTAATAGACTTAAGAGGCTTCCATGCAACAGCTAATTGTTAAGTAAATTCAATCAACCAATCAACTTCCATTCTATTGTTAAGAAAATAAAAAACAATCCTACAGTTTACACTAGACTTGCAATTAAAACAACATACCCTCCAGAATCCAAGTGCTTCACACAGGAGCCCTCAACATGGAGATGTAGTGAGGGCCCAACAGACTTTTATATATAAGCCTGCCCACCTGGTCCTGACAGACTTAAAAAATCATTTTAAGGGATAAATACCATTTTAAAAACCAATTAAATTACATTTATATGTGTTGCTCATACATAGTTTTGGGAACATTCTGGTTCATAGTCTTACTGTACTCACTAATAAACAATAGAAATTTTGCTATAAAGAAAAATCATGTCTCTTTTACCTCCTTCCTGTATATTTTTTCATGGTTTTAAGCTGCTGAACATAAAGAAGTAGTGCTAACCCAACTTAGGAAGTGCAACCAGGGTATTCTTTAGAGGCAATGATAGTGAAACTTGTACCACATACTTTGGGTATTTTGACAGTTGGGTCCAGTCATTGGAAAGGGACATAATGCTGGCAAACAGTGAGGTTCAAAGACAAGAAGACCTTCAACAAGAGGAACTGACAAAGTAACTGGAACAATGGACTACAGCACATCAGAGATCAGGTGGATGGAGCTGGACAGGGACAAGTTCAGATCTGTGGTTTGCAAGGTCACAGTGAGTTGTGGTAGACTCTGTAGCACCTAACAACTACTAATGGTCTACATTTTAGTTTATTAATGAGTAGTTGTTGTTATGTGTCATCTAGTTGCTTGTGACTCATAGCGACCCTATGTACAACAGCCCTAAACCTTGCTGCCCAGTGCCAGTCTTACCTCTCTGACACACCCACCCTCAGTACTCTAGTCACTGAATCAATCCACCTCATAGAGGGTCTTCCTATCCTGCGTTGTCCCTCCACCCTTCCAAGCATGATGTCCCTCTCCAAGGACTGGTCCCTCCTTGCAACATGTCCAAAGTGTGTCAGATGAAGCATCAGAATCCTTGCCTCCAAGGAGCAGGCCAGTTTAACCCTCTCCAGGATGAACCTGTTTGTTTTCTTAGCAGTCCATGGTATATTCAATACTCTTCTCCAGCACCACAACTCAAAGGCGTCAATTCTCCTTCTAGCCTCCCTAGTCATTGTCCAACTCTCTGATGCATAACAAGTGATTGCAAAGACCATCGCCTGTATCAAGAGCACCTTAGTCTCCAGAGACACATCATTGCTCTTCAATACTCCGGAGAGGTCCCTAACAGCAGACTTTCCCAACACAATCTTTTAATTTCCTGGCTGCTGTAGTAAATTTTTTATACAGAACATCTGTTAAATACAAATTCAAGTAAATATGTTTCCCCCATGTAACTTGACAAAAGTCCAATATTTCTGTAAGAATTTTTGTTGTTTCAAATATGCATGAAGTATAATGAGATGTTAAAAGTCTGACTGGTGTGAATACCTGGGAAAAGAATTGTATCTGAAAACATGTGGCATAAAAAAACCCAAAACACCAAAAGAACCCCAACTAAACCCCAAAACTCAAATTCAATGCAACACAATTAGAATGGAATGATAGCTGGCCATCTAGGAGTTTTCCGAAGACTGAAAATCACACAGTAAGAGACTGCGCATCTTTCTCCTAAGGAGCAGCTGCATTATTTGAATTGCCTGCCTTTGGTTTTCCAGCAGTCTCTCTACCAACTAGGCCACCGAAATTATCTAGTGTTGGGCTATGTAATAAAGATAGTTATAGAGCTGCATGACTAGAACCTAGAAGAGCACAGAAATATAAGAAACACAAGATAAAAAACAACAAAAAGTGTGAAAGCAATTAAAAATTAAGCAATAAATGGACAAAGGACTTGAAACAGACCTTCTACCAGAGGGACATTCAAATGGCCAAACAAATGAAAAGATGCCCAGTATTATTAACATTACCAAAATTAAAATCAAAATAATAAAGAGATACCACTGCACTACCACAAGGATGTTAAAAAACCCCTCAAGCCTAGAAAACTACAAATGTTAGTCAGGGAGTGAAGAAACTGGAATCTTTATCCATTGCTACAGGGGTGCAAATGGTATGTACCACCATCGTGAAAACAATGTGGTAGTCCCTCCAAAAACAAAAACATATGGCCCATAAATTTTATATCTAAGAATATATCAAATACTGGAAAACTTAATCCCTTTAGATGGACAACAGCTATTTACAAGAAGGGGTGGGGGTCAGGGAATAAAACAAAAAAAATTTCGTCTCCTGTGGGCCTCTCTGATCTCAATTCAAAGTTAATGTAGGAAAAACAAAATTGTTATTTGTTGTTATGTGCCGTCGAGTCGCCTGCGACTCATAGCGACCCTATATACAACAGCCCTAAACTCTGCTCTGTCCTGTGCCAATCGCACTGTCTCTGACACTCCCATCCCATTATCCCAGTCACTGAATCAATCCACCTCAGAGAGGGCCTTCCTCTCCTGTTCTGTCCCTCCACCCTCCCAAGCATGATGTCCCTCTCCAAGGACCGGTATCTCCTCACAACATGTCCAAAATATGTTAGACGGAGACTCAGAATCCTTGCCTCCAAGGAGCCACCCAGTTTAACCCTTTCCAGGACAAATCTGTTTGTTTTCCTAGCAGTCAATGGTATTCTCAATAGTCTTCTCCAGGACCGCAGCTCAAAGGCATCTATTCTCCTTCTATCCTCCTTGGTCATTGTCCAACTCTCTGATACATAACAGGTGATTGCGAAGACCAGGGCCTGTATCAGACGCACCTTAGTCTCCAAAGAGATACCACTGCTCTTCAGCACTATGGAGAGGTCCCTAACAGCAGTCTTTCCCATGGCAATGCGCCTTTTAATTTCCTGGCTGCTGGTGCCAAGACTGTTGACTGTGGAGCCAAGCAAACTAAAGCTGTGTAAAATCTCAATCTCT